CAAAAACTTCACTCCTCTGCCAGGAGGAGTTAGTTCTAAGCCATGACACTTTGGGGTGGTTTGTTGTACAGCAAACAATAATCAGAACCCTTCCAAAAATGCTGTGCCTTCTCTCTCCTCAGCTTTCTTAATGTCAAAAGCACCTTCCCTATCGTCTAGTTGCCTGCTCAGGCACCTAAATATCAATACTTTCTTACCACATCAAACCAACTACCAAGGTCAACTGAGTTTTTCACTCTGAGAAAACTCTAATTCCTCCCCAACTCCTTACCACATGCAGATGAGAGCAAGTCTTCCTAATAGTCTGTGCAGCCCATCCCCTAACATCCTAGTCGGCCTCATCCATTACTCCCAGAATTAGCTCTAGATACACAAGGTTAGCTATGCACTCATTTGGTAAATATTTATCTAAGCCTCCTCCTATGTGATAAGCACAATTTTAGACATAGAAGAATAAAGACAAATGTCTGTCCTCGTTGACATGACAGTCTAGAGGAGGAAGACATGTTCATAAATAAAACACACAGTATGAATCAGGGAAGAAAAGAAGTGCGGTGAAGTTCTGAAATCTTATTTTTATTTTAAAAAGATTTATTTATTTATGCATACAGAACTGGGGTGCAGGGGTGGTAAGAGGATTCACCAGAGACAATGGGGAGCAGAACAGGCAGATCAATGAGGGGAGCAGTGGGTGAACAGGAGAGGGCTGCTGTGCCATGTGGATCACTTCCAGGGCTGGGGATCGAACTAGCACTGAAGTGGCTGTGGCTCACTTGCAGTGCTGCACTTTAACCTGTTGTACCACCAGGGAGGGCCAAGGTTTTGACATTTTAAATGGTGATTAGGAAAGGATTCTTTGAGATGACTGAGTAAAATCTGAAGGGTATGAGGAGTGAGTTAAGTGGGGAACTTGAAAAAGCATTGGAGGCAAAAGAACAGTCAGTGCAAAGGTCCTGATGTAACACTGAGTCAAGGCATTGGAGAATTCAAGGGAGAGGCTGCTGTGTCATCATTGAGACGGAATGATAGAAGTGAGTTGTAAATTTAAGTGTAAATGTAGGGGAAGATCATACCCAATCTGGAGCACACTCGTTTTGACCTGAGAAGCCACTGGAAGATTTCAAGCAAGTGTATGCCATGATTTGACTTAGATTTTAAATGATCCCCCTGATTGTTGCATTGATTCATATGTCATAAGGGAGACCAAGGGAAGAAGGAAATCACCCAAAAGTTACTATTATCATGTGAGATGGTGGCCTGGACCTTGCCGGAATAGCAGAGACTGGAGATTGCTAAAGTCCAGATTTGTTTATTGTAGCTGGTGTGGAAAGAGCAAGAAAGGATCAAGGTTGACTCCAAGGTTTTGAGCCTGAGCAATCTGAGTAGGAAATCAGTTTATCGTTGAACATATTCAGTCTAGATACCTGTGAAATATTTAAGTGAAAATGTGAAGTAGACAACAGGAGACTAGAATTTGGCATATATACAGAATTGAAGGCAGAGGTTACACTGAACTTCAGAGATAGCCACAGCCCTATAAGGGTTGAAAGTGTAGCCAGCAAAGGAGAGAGAGAAGCCAGTGGCCTATTAGGTAGGAAGAAAAGCTGAAAACCAGGACAATCATGTGAAAGGATATTTTGAGGAAGTATGCAACTATATAAAATATTGCTGAAAACTGTGGTATTGAGTTCTAGAGAGACCACTGGTGACCTTGATAAGAATATTTTTTCTTGGCTAGAATTGAAAAAGTCTCACTGGAATATTTAAAAGACAACAAAACCGTACAAATAAAGTCAGCAAAAATAGACAGTTCTTTCTAGGAGTTTAGCTCTACAGGGGAGGAAAGATATAGGGCTATAGCTGGAGGTGGAAATCATGGGCACTGCCTAAAACCTTTAGTGACGCCCATGACTCCCCATGTGAACTTCCTTCCAGTTAGCAAGGACAATGACTGGTGCCTTTACATGTATCACCTACTTTTTTTGACCAAGTGCCAGGTACTGTATTAGTAACCCAAGAGGTACAAGGACGAATGGTGAATTCAAGAAACTACCTCATAGTCCAGTGGAACAGGCAGAGTCATGAGCTCCAGAATTCTGATATGTCAGGTGTTCTGTGGACAGAATGGGATACTGCCTGGAGAAATCCAGGAATGTTCTATAGTGAGATCACATCTAAGCTTAAACAGCAAGTTTTTATACTAAACCAGAGCCACGTAGAAATCAAAGAGCATAGAATGGAACATATCTCTCTGCAGTTATCATACAGGGTCTTGAAGGAGCGGCTCAGAACTGCAAAGGTAACCTGGACAAGTTGAAGCAGTAATCCCAGCTAATAATGACTTTGCTTTGTACCAGGGGCTCTAATGTCATCACTTTCTGTGAGGTAGATATCATTATCATCCCCATTTTACAGATAAGAAAAAGGAGGCTCAGGGATATCAAGACTCCTGGCCACACAGTTTGAATGCAGCAAAGTTGAGAACTGCTAGGCAGTCTGGTTCTGGAATTTGAAAAGCAAACAATTAGAAAGATCAGGTTGAATGGCAAAATCAGCATTTGTATCTCAGGAGCCCAATTCAAGAAGTATAGGGAAAGAGTGCAAGGAGGTAGAAGCTAGTTGGTATGGAAGCAGGGACAAAAGGAAGGAAACTGAATCAAGGGTTACATCACAGAAAAAAGTAGACACAACGGTCAACCAAATGGAAGGTAAGTCTGCAAAGAACAGAGATCCCCCAGGTACAAGGCCCAAGTTGTACTACAGATGAAAGTTGCAGCTGTTAACATAAGGTAGTGACATCAGAAGAAATGGGAGGAGATGCAAATGCAAAGAAATCACTAAGGTGATTTCCAGACACATTTCCCCCTCCTGCTTGTGAAAGAAAGGTTCTCACTTAAAAAAAAATCGCTTTAGGGCCCTCCCTGGTGGTGCAATGAGTTAAAGCACAGCACTGTGGAGTTTTCTGAAGCCACTGCAACAAGAGTTCAATTCACAGCATGAGTTCAATTCACAGCCAGGGGGGGACCCGCATGGCACAGCCACTTCTCCTGACCCACCTGCTGCTCCCCTCAGCAGTGTATTTCACTTGATCTGCCTGTTCTGATCCCCACATTGTGTCTGGTGAAACCTCTCACTCCCCTGCACCTCTGGCCTGTACCCAGTTCTTGTAAGCATAAATAAATAAATATTTTTTTAGAATTGGGAGGAAGAACATATATTTTGTTGGGTATAGTCATTATGTCTTAGAGACACCTACTGAAGTATTTGCAGGAGACCAGATAAAACTAGAATTTGCTGCAAAATGATTTAAAGGGGACATTGGATAGAACAAAAATAGAATGTTGGTAACTTCGCAGCAGACAAGGCCTTGGGTGAGTATTCAAAACAAACCCTGAGAGAAGGAATGCTAGGACAACAGGGAAGGGCCATTAAGTGAAGACACCAGGTCTTAAGAATAGTCTAGGTAAAACCACACTACCCTTACAACAGACCTTGTTTCCTGGGCAAATAGCTGGAACTCTGATCCCAGAATGGGATGCTATAGGGTACAAGCTGTTAAACAGTTACCCATTTGAAAGAGATTAATGATGCTCACCTAAAGCTGGGCTGTAAGGCACCCAGATGTCCTCCCTCTGCCCACTGGCAGTCCTTTCTGGGCAGGCAGCTGCTGCCCAAAAAGCAGGAATGTTACTGGAAATACTCAAGCTCCAGCAGGGTAGGGCACCACTTCTTTAAAGGCATCAGGAATGGACCTGCCACAGAAAAACATATTGTGGGCAGCTTGCTAGGGCATGGGCTTTGAAAACAGCCTGCTCTGACATGCTGCTCACACTGAACTTGAACTGGACTTCTCTCACCTTTGTTCTTCATAAGGAGAGTTAATGCTTTCTAGCCACTGAGTATATACCAACTGTCCTGGAACTGTAGGAGTTATACCTCATGCTAGTCTTGCAACCAGCCAAGGGGATACTTCATTAACTTTGTTTTTTAAATGTGGAACTTGATGTACAGTATAGTCAGTCTCTTGCCCAAGATGATAAAGTGACTCTCTCTCTTTACATATATATATATATATATATATTGACAAGACTGGATGAAATCTGGCTGTGGAGGTCCAGGGCAGCAATAGTGAACCTCTACAGGTTATAAGAATTCTCAGTGTATTTATTCTGACATGAACCAAAACTGATCATGGGGTGATAAGCTTTGAATCTGGGTTTGAATAAAATTTCTCTGGGATAAAAAATTAAAAGAACTTAAAATTCCAAAACATAGCCACGCCAGAGATTTGGGAATCACAGGTTTGGAGAATCATGATTCCTATGGTCAATGACCGCTCCCTGGAACCTTCGGGAAACTTGCTCAGAGGGTCCCTCTTCTTCCAAGGCCTGACCCCGGGTGGGGGCTAGGGTCAAGCTGCGACCATACGATCACGCCAAAATGATCATTCTAATCCCTGTCCAACACGGGCACATGTGGCTAAGCCTGTGTGCCCCTCACCCCTTCCTCACTACAAAACCACCGAGTGTGCCCGAAGACGATCAGCCCCCACTAAAACCCCACATGGACACAAGGGGGCGAAGGGTTCACACCGTCTGCTGGAAAATGTCAGGCCCCCAAAAGTCTACTTACTCAATGCCCTAAACCCGGGGATTTGTGGCATGAGCGACCCCACCTCAATATCGTGACTTCAGCCAAGGCCGAACGAGTCCCCCACCCACAGGAACCGTAGGACGCAATGCCAAAGCGCGGGACCCAGCACCCTTGGGTTTCACAAACGAGCTTCACCCACATCCCTCGGAGAGGGACTCGCCCACACTCCCTAAAAAGATATCCAGGAGAGCACGGCCTGAGTTGCGGCAGCGCGTTCCCTCCTCTACCTTCTCTCCCGCCATCTGCACGGCCACCAGCCTCGACCCACAGACCAGACTTTCGGCAGCTTCCTTCCCGTGCAGGGAACGGCACGGCTGCGGCCAGGGGGCCGCGGGAATCTCACTCACCAGCGCCATCAAAGAACAAGGGGTCAGTCCCGACACCAGCTGGAGAGCTACTACTGCAAGGCCCGGGACTACATTACCCAGAGTACTGCCCCCGGACCACACCTCCCAGGATGCTCGGCGCAACCAGAGGAGGGCTGACGGCCAGCAGTTCTTTCGCCTCCAAGGCAGCAGTTTCTGGGTAACGTAGTCGGGTCACTGGAGAGTGACCACTGTGGCGCCTGGATCCTCCGCTGCTTGTTCTTAAAACCGCGTTCACAAAATATGCAGAGGGCCCTGGGTGAAGCTCCCTGTCGGGACATGACCCTTTCGCTAACGCCTTCGCCTTAACTACACTCCCCAGTGACAACTGCGACACCCCCCGCTTCCGGTACCGGGAGGGGTCTCCCCCCGCCCCTGGCGCGCCAAAGTGACGTATCGCGGAGCTAAAGTTGAACTTCTAGCTAGCTAGTAGGTGAACTGGAGTGTGGAGCGTCAGGTCTCCTGGTTCGTGGCTCGGGGTTGCAGACTGCCTGGTGCTCCGTGAGCGCGGGGCAGACCTCATTTCGCTCCATTCACGTGCCCTTTTAATTCTATTTAAACCCTAGGGGGCATCGAAACTGGGAGAGACAGACAGTCTTGACAGTCTTCCAAGGTCCCCCATTCCCTACGAGATAGAAACAGATTCTGAGTCCCCGTCCTCAACCCAAACACTCCGCTGAGGGTGCCATGAAACCTTGATCCTTTGTTGGAGTACGCGGATTTATGGGCAGTCTCTCATTCATCTTCCGGGAGACAGGAACCTCACTCAGAGACCATAGTTTGGGGTTGAGCACCCCCTCTCTCCTGCCGGTTGACTTGGCCGGCTGTGGATCTTTGTTAAGCGAGGTGGTTGAGAACAGAGCTGCGCTGGTGCAATAGGGTCATTGATAGCAAGTCCCATTTAACTCGTGGAAGCAGGTTTCTACTGCGTCACACTTGGGCACTTATATTTACTTTTCTCAGGTATGGTTTCTGAAATTTCATCCTTTAGGAAGGAAAAGAAGAGCCCTCCCTGGTGGCTCAACGTCTTAAGCCGCAGCGCTATGAAGATATCCTCAGTTACGCAGCACGAGTTGTATCCCCAGCCAGGGAGGTGACCCACATGGCGCAACAGACCTCCCCTGTCTCCCCCACTGCTCCCCTCGGCAGTGTATTTCAGTCAGCCTGCCTGTTCTGCTCCTCACTCTGCCTCTGCTGAAACCTCTCACCCTACTGCACCTCAGACCTGTACCCCAGCTTGTATAAGCATAAATAAATAAATCTTTTTTTAAAAAAAAGAAATAAAAGTTAAAATCTGTATGGCCAGAATAGCCAGAAAGAGACAAGAATTGCCATAGGCAGTGAATCCATCCTCCCCCCCCCATTTTTAAAGATTTACTTGTGCATACAAAAACTGGGGTGTAGCCTAGAGGTGTGGGAAGTGAGAAGATTCACCAGAGACAGAGTGAGGAGCAGAACAGGTGGGCCTACTGAAATACACTGCTGAGGGGAGCAGCAGCAACACAGGAGAAGACTGCTGGTTGTGTGGTTTATCTCCCTGGTGGGGGATCAAATCCAGGCCAGGGTGGCTGGCAAGAGATTAACACCTGCACCACCAGGAGGCGCCCTCCCTTTTTATTATACAAGATTGCTTTATTCCTAAATTCATTTCAAGCCTTGCCTGGGAGAAGTATAAAGTCTTACCAGGAGCCCTCTCTCACATCCCTGACTGCCCCACCAAGTGACTCATTTATTTATCAAGAAATTAGTTGTTAATGTACATGGAGGTTCAAAATAACAATGCAAGGACATCCAGTTTATGTTTAAGTATCAGCAGTGCTTGCTCTATTCAAAAGGCAGGGTTGCTGGGATCTCAGACATCTGGAGATAAGAAACTTTCAGAATGAGGGCTGCCTGCATTCCCCTGAGGGAATAAGCAAGATGAGGAGTTGGATAAAGTCAAACTATTGGAAAGAAAGAGGGAATCATGCCAGTCCCAGTTCTGAGTCACTGGGCAGACTGCCCTGGCCTAAGGGAGATAGCAGAAGTCATTGAATTAGAATGGTTTTACATGCATATAGATGAGGGTGTGATCTAGCTGTCCATAGGTGAAGACAAATTGCCATCTGAACTGTTTACTTTCTAAAAACACATCCTGTACCTTTCTCCATCTTTCCCCCCCATACTTCCCTCCCTTTTTACCCCACACCTCATCTGGCTGGTCTTCTTCCCTTGCTCTTCTAAATCCTTCCCATTCTTCAAAGCCAAAGTTGCATTTCTCTCATGATATATTCTCTGATCTCTGTCCTACTTCTTCAGATTCTTGAGATCCTTCTGATCTTGCCTGTACCTGGGAGCTTTTAGATATAATGTCTAAACCCCAACCCCCCTAGAGATTATGAGTTTGGGATAAGGCCCTAGCATCCATTATTGATAACAAAGATGTGTTTACCCTAAGAAAGGAAGAGTCATGATAATGTAGAGGAGAAATTTTTGTTTTGGGAAATCTAAAGTTTGTTTGTTAGTTGCTGCTACTACTGAACAACATACCTGTGTGGATGATTTAACCTAGAATTCTCGAATGTTAATGTATATAAATATCACCTGGGATCTTGAAAACTTGAAAATTCTGCTCAGCATGCCTGTGGTGGAGCCCAAACATCAGCATTTCTAATTGCTTCTGGATGATGTTGACTCTGCTTATCCTTAGACCAGCTAACAAGGATTTGGCCCATTTAGGGGCTTAGAGTCTTACCTCTAATATGATTAAGTCAAATAACCTCCATGTTCCACAGACTCAGAGGGGCAGTGATTCTATATCTATTTTCACATGTAGTTTTCCTAAGTTTAAAGCACCTGCTTTTTTTTTTTTTAAGGTTTACTACTTATTTATTCATAGAGAACTGGGGTACAGGCCAGAGATGCAGGGGCAGCAAGAGGCTTCACCAAAGACAGAGTGGGGAGCAGAACAGACAGCGATGAAGTACACTGCTGTGAGGAGCAGCAGGTGGGTCAGGAGAGGTCTTCCTTGCCATATGAATCACCTCCAGGGCCGGGGATCGAACTCTCACTGAAGCTCACTTGCAGTGCTGTGTCCTAACCCATTGCACCACCAGGGAGGGCCTAAAGCACCCACTTTTACAAATGCTATTTCTATTTACAAGCCCTGTAATAGCCAGAGTAGGACCTAGACAGTAGTCAAATGAAACTGGTTGAAAAGAGAGTGGCATTAATAGTCTTGGAATCTAAGCACCAGATTTGTAGTAAAGACAGGATCTGTCCTGCTAGCCTTATAAATCCCCTTTTCCACTACTATGAGTTCTAAATAGGTTCTTCAGCCCACACTCTGGCTTTCTCAACCAGCTTAGCTGTGTCCTGAATGGCACCTTAAGTTCATATCCTATGGTTATCTCATTTTCTTTCCTAAGAGCAGGAATTTCATCTTTTGAAACCAAGACTCATCACCCAGCTGCAGTTGACCAAAAGGATTCCCAACATCTTCTGGGCCCTTGTTCATGTAAAGGGTGACTTGACTGCATTTGACACAGCAGTTAGCAGGTCAGGAAGGTGGAAATATCATTGAGCTTGTAGGGAGGAAGTCTTCTGGTTTCGTTAGTGACTGTTCAGATTGGTTGGCCTTGTCTCCCTTCCTGACTCATCTTTATCCAAAAGAAGGGTTTCTGGCATATTTTTTTTTCTTCTTCCTCTGCTAGGAAATCACCCTTCCTCTCACTGGGTTTGCCTTCTCTAGCCTACACAGTCTTTCTCTACTCATGCACTTTCTCACTTGACCTGATCTTAAACAAGCACCAACCCTGTATGCCTAATGCTGCTGCAGAAGTTGTATGTTTAGAGAGAGAGCCAATAAATACCTTTTCTTTATCCCACCTGCGTTCTTTTATTCTGAGCCTATAGATTTGGCTTGGGACATTTGGTCCCAATTGGCTGTGTGATCATGGGCAAGGGGCTTGCCCTCTCATGGTGGTGAAGATCATGGTTTTCAATGCATAAAACAGAAGAAAGGAAATTCACTAAAGTGCCCTGTGAGGAGATAAGATATCCTATTTTCTTGGCATGTACCATGACTTTAACTTATGCTTCATTATGAATCCCCATCCTTTAGCAGCTTTTAGATATGGTTTTAATGGCAGAATTGGTTTATAACTTGCCTTCATTTGTGAAGAATTTTTTTTTCTAGATATTGAATTTTCCAGACTTTCTTTTAGCTTTTTGAAAGATGTGCTTCCATTATATGTTGGTCTACATTATTTCTTTTTTTTTAAGATTTATTTAAATCTTACAGTTCTGCGTACAGACCTAGGGTACAGGCCAGAGGTGCAGGGGCTGTGAGAGGATTCACCAGAGACAGAGGGGGGAGTGGAACAGGCAGATCAATGAAGTACACTGCTGAGGGGAGCAGTGGATGGTCAGGAGAGGTCTGCCATGCCATGTGGGTCACCTCCAGGACAGGCAGGGATCAAACTTCATGCTGAAGTGGCTTTAGCTTCTTAGTGCTGTGCTTTAACCTGCTGTGCCACCAGGGAGGGCCCCTATTTTTTTTTTTAAGATTTATTTATTTATACATATAGGACTGGGGTACAGGCCAGAGGTGCAGAGGGTGAGAGGATTCACTAGACACAGTGGGGAGCAGAACAGGTAGATTGACGAAGTACACTGCTGAGGGGGAGCAGCGGGTAGGTCAGGTGAGGTCTGCTGCCCCATGTGGGTCAGCTCCCTGACCAGGGATCAAACTCAAGCTGCGCTGGCTGCAGATAGCTTCACAGTGCTGTGCTTTAACCAGTTGGGCCACAAGGGAGGGCCCTGGTCTGTATTATTTCTTATGCGAAGTCAGTTTTAATGTATATTATTATTCACTACGTATAAGCCTTCCTTGTCTTCTGGATGCTCTTGAGATTTTGCTTTGGCTTTTCAGAAGTTTAGCATATATGAGTTTAAATGGTCTGTTTTTGTGTAGTGGTAATTGTAGTTTGGTATTTATCCAATTTGAGGTTCGTTGAGATCCTCCAATCTGTAAGTCAATTTTTTTATTCAGTTTTGGGAACTTTGGTTGTCATATCTTGAAGTAATATTTAAGCCCTTATTTGATTGCATCTCCTTTTGGGTCCCCAGTTTCACATATGTTAGACTGGTTAATTATCCCACAGTTCAGTGA